CCTACATATAAAGTGTATTTTTATGATAGCAGTAACTGTAAGTGGACTTGTAATATGTAAATCAAATGTAAGCTAGACACAGTACTAATTACTAAACTCAGAGACCAGGTCAGTTTCCCAGCATAAGTTGCCACAGTGACTAAGCTTTAATCTAGGCCTATGTTAAGTTTGCTTTATGGAACCAAATCATTTGAGAATGAGTCAGACTAACTGAAATAAGCCTGGCTTATTTGGTTAACTTGGTAAAAATAATAGAATGTGAGAGAGTGGTAATATCATTGTGTTGCTGTTGGTCAGTAGAGGAGCTGAGCTTAGCCGGACAGTTAGCCTGCTTTAGACCAGGTCAGTTTCCCAGCATAAGTTGCCACAGTGACTAAGCTTGATCTAGGCCTATGTTAAGTTTGCTTTATGGAACCAAATCATTTGAGAATGAGTCAGACTAATTGAAATAAGCCTGGCTTATTTGGTTAACTTGGTTAGCTTAAACAGGCCTCGAGGCATTAAAAGTGATCATATTTTCTCCATTGCATCATATTGCATCGAATTGCATTGTGTTGAATCGAATCGGAATCGGATCGCACTGCATCGTGACGGGTGTATCGTATCGGTAGCTGCTTCATATGTAGCTTTAATGTATCGTATCGTTGGCTATGCATCGAGATGCGTATCGTATCGGCCTCAGTCATGAGATGCACATCCCTAGTCTGTTTTAGCTTCATATTAAACGTATCATTTAATTGATTGACATATTGACTTGTTTCTGCCTTCAAAATTAAAAAAATTAATTTCATAACATTGTATGCATTTGTAGGCTAATTGCAGTGTAAATGCATTCAGTAATGATGGCTCTGATGGCTTTTGTTGACACTGATTGGATTTTTACTAGTAACAGCCCTTTATTATTTTAACTGAATTTATCGATTGGAATTAAGACCGTGGCATTCCATATTCATGATGCATACATTTAATACGGTTTTTAAAAAATGCCCCTGGACGTCAGTTTAGGGGTTTGTTTCTGATGCTGTCAATGTTGTTTTTGGAAGTTACATTAAAAAATGCAGTTAGCTCAAATAGCTGAGGGCACAGGACAGGCGCTGTTTGGATGAGCATGATGCTTGTATGTTCAGTGCATGGCGTGTGTTTCACTAGCTCCGTTCCCATGGACACCTTTTGTTTTACCTGATTCTGGATATAAATAAATGTGGAAATAAATAAAAGTGGAAATAAATAAATGTGGAAAACAATGGAAAAATACATAAGGAAATACAATTATAAATAATTATACATTTTTGCTTTTTTACATTTCTTTGTACATTTCTTTATTTCTTTCTAATTATGGCAGGATTGGCATTCCATAGTAAAGCAGCTCTACAAGACAACAGTGTGATTATTCAGATCAAGTCGTGTTCAGTGTTGGTTCTTGAGTGATTTCCTGCATGCTGAAGCTGTGCTTGTTTCACGTCTCTCTCGACTTTTTCTTTCTTCGGACAGAATGAAATCATGCGCACTCTAGTCGATATGTGAGTTTGTTTCAGTCACAGTAACGTTACATGGAGGCGGTGTGGCGTATAGTGGCTCGAGCTCTCAGGACCGTTGACCGGAGGCTTGCTGGCTACAGCTTTGCACCACAGCACAATTAATTACCTCCAGATTAAAGGCTGTAAAACGTGAATAACACTCACAGAAACAATGACTATCTGCTTCTCCATGAATATTTTTCTTTTGCAGTTTATCCACAGAGATCTAGCAGCCAGAAACATCCTGGTGGGAGAAAGCTTTGAGGCAAAGATCGCTGATTTCGGCCTGTCCCGAGGTCAGGAGGTTTACGTGAAGAAGACCATGGTAATGATCCGAAGGCCGCTGTTCTTGTCATGCGTTACTGAACATGCGTGATTTTAACATGCGTGTTTCTCTGCAGGGGCGTCTGCCAGTGAGATGGATGGCCATCGAATCTCTCAACTACAGCGTTTACACCACCAACAGTGACGTGTAAGAGTCTGTGTGTGTTTGTGTGTGTGTGTGTGAGAGAGAGAGTGTGTGTGTGTGTGTGTGTGTGTGAGTGCGAAAGAGTGTGTGTGTGTGTGTGTGTGAGAGAGTGTGTGTGTGTGAGTGTGTGTGTGAGAGAGAGAGTGTGTGTGTGTGAGAGAGAGAGAGAGAGAGAGAGAGAGAGAGAGAGAGAGAGAGAGAGAGAGAGAGAGAGAGAGAGAGAGAGAGAGAGAGAGAGAGAGAGAGAGAGAGAGAGAGAGAGAGAGAGAGAGAGAGAGAGAGAGAGAGAGAGAGAGAGAGAGAGAGAGAGAGAGAGAGAGAGAGAGAGAGAGAGAGAGAGAGAGAGAGAGAGAGAGAGAGAGAGAGAGAGAGAGAGAGAGAGAGAGAGAGAGAGAGAGAGAGAGAGAGAGAGAGAGAGAGAGAGAGAGAGAGAGAGAGAGAGAGAGAGAGAGAGAGAGAGAGAGAGAGAGAGAGAGAGAGAGAGAGAGAGAGAGAGAGAGAGAGAGAGAGAGAGAGAGAGAGAGAGAGAGAGAGAGAGAGAGAGAGAGAGAGAGAGAGAGAGAGAGAGAGAGAGAGAGAGAGAGAGAGAGAGAGAGAGAGAGAGAGAGAGAGAGAGAGAGAGAGAGAGAGAGAGAGAGAGAGAGAGAGAGAGAGAGAGAGAGAGAGAGAGAGAGAGAGAGAGAGAGAGAGAGAGAGAGAGAGAGAGAGAGAGAGAGAGAGAGAGAGAGAGTGTGTGTGTTTTGTGCTGAGAGTAACCGTGTCTCTCTGCTCAGGTGGTCGTATGGCGTCTTGCTCTGGGAGGTGGTCAGCTTAGGTCTGTCACACAATCAATGCAGTCAGAGTTCAAGGTCTGATAATATCTGTTTCTTTACTTGCATGATGTGATTTGGTGGCTTTGATTGGCAGGTGGAACGCCATATTGCGGTATGACGTGCGCGCAGCTGTACGAGAAACTCCCGCAGGGCTATCGGCTGGAGAAGCCGCTCAACTGTGACGACGAGGTGTAAGTCTCAAACACCTGTGTCCATCTGCGGATGATAGAGTGGAGATGAGTCTGCTTCTCTGTCTCTGCAGGTATGAGCTGATGAAGCAGTGCTGGAAGGAGAAACCTTACGAGAGACCTTCATTCGCTCAGATCTTGATGTCACTCAATCGTATGCTGGAAGAGAGGAAGGTATGAGATCCAGAGATGGAGCATTATTTGTCTTCCAGTCGAAGTGCTCTGACGGATTTCAACTGCATATTGTTTTGCTGTAAACGCTCTCCTCTCGTTCTCTCCAGACGTACGTCAACACGACGCTCTATGAGAAGTTCACATACGCCGGCATTGACTGTTCTGCAGAGGAAGCCGGCTGACGCTTCGCTGCTACTGTACAAATCTCAGAGTGCTTAACGAACGCTTAATTAGATCCTCTGAGCAAGATTCAGTTTTACACACGTTGTGTTTCATTAGTAAATGGCTACCGGATCATATTTCTTTTATGTTGTGTGAGATGATGACTGGAGATACTGACAGATGTGTGACCTATGTATATTTCATTGTTTTTAATAAAAAGCCTGTCTTAGATACTGCGCGCCAGCTTGTTTCTACATGTACATACTGCTTTGTGCAAAATAGACCTGTAATGGAAACGAACGAGCCCACAAAACCTCTGGAAAAGCTTCTAGTTTTGTAGCCAAATAAAACAATTTATAACGGTTTCTTAGCACACGAAACAAACTAGAGCTGCATTACAGACAAATAAGAGTACATTTTCCACTGATAAGTCACATGTTTTTAATCGACCTCTGATTTTATCCACATTCTGTCTCATTGTAACACTAAGATCATCTCCAGTCACAGTATGAGCATGCTGACTAAAATCAGTTTCACCTTTATTTGTAAAGTGCTTTTCACAATACAGATGGTTTCAAAGCATCTTTACAGAAAAAGCATTCTAATGATAGTGTAATTTGGCTCTAATGAATCTTGCGTTAAATCAGGAAACTTCCCCTAATCTTCAGCTTCAGGTGACTCTCAAGCAAATCAATTCTGCTGACAACACAAGTGTCATCCGCATGTGTTTTTCCCCAGGATTAAAAAAAAATTAGCATTAGTTTTGGTAAAAGATCAACAGGACATTTGTCTTTTGTCCATTTCACCACCCCATAAAGATCAGACGCTGTTGTCTTCATGGATTCTGTCAGTCTGCAGCTGTAATGTATTCATTCACGCCACATGAAGACGGGTCCTGAGCAGGACACACGGGTCGTTCCTCACGGCTCTCCCTCGGCCGGCTCCCTCTGTGTCATGATCACACACACCTCGTAGACGCGGAAGGCAGCGAAGCCGGTGGCCAGCAGGGAGGCGGCGCCCAGAATGTACCACCAGTTGAAGAGGCCGAAGGAGACTCCTCTGACGATGCAGTAGAGACCGAAACACACCAGAGCCACGGCGGAGAAGAGCTGCACACACAGCGGCGGCCCGGACGAGGACGGTTTCTCACCCATGATGAAGCCTGCGGCCCTCACGCTCTAGCACAGACCTGAGAGAGAAAGCTTGAGGAGAAAAACAATGTGACTAATGATTAGGATTGCCTGAGCAGTGAAATCTAAGTGAGTCGGTGTCATGATGAAGAATGAACAGCACAAGAGTCTTCGTCAGGAGCTCCAGCGCAGCACTGAGATGCAGACGCGATCGCTGGCTCTTATATCAGCCTCCGCTCACAAACCTGAGATTAAAGACAGCAGAAACACCCGTCAAATCACTCAGGGCCTAATCCAGTTGAAGAAACTCCAGCTTCTATTACGCTGACTTGCAGGTTCATGTAATCAAGGTAAGTGCCGCTGATAAAGAGCTTATAGACTGAAAGTTAGGGTTTTTCAGGTCGACTAGAGATGCTTTGTGTTGCTGCACTGAATGCAGAGACAGAGATATCAGTGCAAGGACACGTAGAAGTATTACAATCAAATATTTCAGCTACATGTTCTCATAAATGTTGGGAGCGATACAGTTAAATACAATCAAAATATTCTTTATTGCATTATGAAATTTACAGGGTCACGTTTCAAACAAAAAAAAGTTGGACGAGAGCTTAAAAGTGGAACTCACACAACACCAATTAAACAAATGATATTAGTGGTTTTATTGCAAATGAGAGATTTGAACAGAATCAGTGCAGATCCGACAGACACTGTGTGACCGTTTCACTTCTCCTCAAACTAAGATGAACACACTGTCAGACTGTGGTTGGCCAATGAATACTGACGACCAGTTCACAGAATTACTGTCCGTGGCTGAACTGAGCATCAGATTTATCATCAAATGATCCAGTGACTAAAACTAACCCTTCATTTCAGAGCAGCACAAACAGAAATAAAGCAACATGGAGATGAATGAAAGCAGCTCATCCAAACCTCACAGAGCTGAACGTTAAATGAAGGTGTCCACGTCTTGGTGTGGATTTGAGCAGATGGCTGAATGAAACATTAGTCCTCTGATTGCTCTGTTAGCTCAGTGTGAGTAACACGCCTCGCCGCTAGATGGCGCTCACTGTCAGTCTCTCAGCCTCATCCTTACAGTTCAGTGTGGTTCAGTGATGATGTCACCAGGCTCTGGGACCTCATCTCCACGGCAACGTCCAGTTCACGGATTAAAGCTCCTGAGAAAAGCCTCTCAGGTGTGAGTGTTTGGAAACGGTCCAGACGCCGGTGCTCACAAACACATTCTAGAGGTCATTTCTTTCTGAAATCCCCAGAGAGAGAGAATTACATTAGTGCTATATCTCACACACACACACACACAATATCTCACACGCACTCACACACTCACACTCACGCTCTCATGCACGCACACACACTCACGCACGCACGCGCTCACACTCACGCACGCACGCACGCACTCACACTCACGCACGCACTCTCACACTCACGCACGCACACTCACTCACGCACACACACTCACTCATGCACTCACTCACTCACACTCAGGCACACACACTCACTCACGCACACACACACACTCACGCACGCACGCACACTCACTCACGCACACACACTCACTCATGCACTCACTCACTCACACTCAGGCACACACACTCACTCACGCACACACACACACTCACGCACGCACGCACACTCACTCACGCACACACACTCACACGACTCACACACACTCACTCACTCACACGCACTCATGCACGCACACTCACTCACACTCACACACGCACGCACTCACACTCACACACTCTCACACGCACACTCACTCACACTCACGCACACACACTCACGCATGCACGCACTCACACTCACTCACGCACGCACACTCACACACTCACACACTCACTCTCACGCACTCACACACACTCACGCACACTCACTCACACACACACTCACGCACTCACACACTCACATGCACGCACACTCACTCACACTCACGCACACACACTCACGCACGCACGCACTCACACTCACGCACACACACACTCACGCACACACACTCTCACACTCACTCACGCACGCACACTCACTCATGCACTCACACTCACGCATGCGCACGCACTCACACTCACTCATGCACGCACACTCACTCACACTCACACACACTCACGCACGCACACTCACGCACGCGCACACACACTCACTCACGCACGCACACACACTCACACTCATGCACGCACACTCACGCACGCACTCACACTCACTCACGCACACACACTCACACTCACACACACTCATGCACGCACACTCACTCACTCACTCACACTCACTCACTCACTCACTCACTCACGCACTCACTCACACTCACCCTCAATACTTCAACTGTAAAATAATCAGCATCAAGAACATGATGAAAAAATTAGCTTTCGCTCATCAGCAATTATTCATGAATTCAGGAAGGTTTTATCCAGCTGAATCTATTGCAGAAGATTCATTTCTAACTGAATAATGAAATGATGCTTTATTATATCTATGCCATGGACTTTAAGCAGACGTGAGAGTCTGGTTCTGTTCTCACCAGCGGCTCCAGTTCTTTGCGCTCTATCAGGTTGAGTTCGGTGGAGAAGTAGTAGAAGTGCTTGTAGCAGGTGTTGACGTGCGCTTCGGCTCCCATCAGGAGGATCCGGTCGAAGTGATGGATGTAGACGTGCACGAACACACGGAAAAGACGGCACAGGATCTTCTTACAGATCTGGATGAAGTTCTTTGGGAAGGGAATTCCTGAAAGACCAAAACACAAAGAGGAAGAATGAATGTAGAAAAAAAGAGAGGAAGTGGCAGAGGATGAAGATGTGGAGCAGACACCTCTCATAACCAGAGGACTAGTTTAACAGTCACAGGAATTAAATACAAACATCATCTGAACCTTCACTAGTTCGGCTCACAAGTCAAGTCACCTTTATTTATAAAGCGCTTTATACAATACTGGTTGTGTCAAAAGAAAGTGAAAGACTGTACATGTGGCTGTTGTGTAAGCGGACATGAGTTTGTGTGTTTGTGACACTGAATTAGTGCCTTTGTTTCCTAACAAAAGCTCATTATGTTCTGCTCATGGCCGAATGAAACGCTCCTTGTTTTCAAACTGTCGAGCAGCATTCAGATCACAGATCAGCAGCTCTTATGAATCAATGAGACTTCAGACTCACTTTACTCTGGACCACAGAAGCAGAGCAAGCTGTTCAGCGCTCTGAAGAACAGGGAAACGTATTTCATCAAGCTTTCAGGTCCATTTTCCTCCTGAACCTCTGAGTTCTCATGATTCTTTCAGCCGTAAACAGCTCATTTCACTGAATAACCACAGATTTCACGTTTCAAGCCATATAGTCTTCAGTACTGGAGTCAAAAACTAAAGACTCAGAATGACTTACTGAGCATGATATTAGTCAGGTTAAAGCTGCTGTACAGTATCTGTACAGATGATGGCGTGACGCATTGCTCGCTGTTTTATAGTGAGTTACGGCTGTGTAATTTAATTATCCACAGCTTGATGATATCTTCATAAGACTGTCTGAAAGCCTAGTCAGCGCAGGATAAGCCGAGCTGCTGACCGGTTTAGGCTCTCAGTCATGTGATCGGTTGGGGAGGGTGGGTTGGTTACTGTAGGTCGTCAGACCTCTTAATCTGCTCAGAATACGGCCTGAAAAACACAGTACTGTGCACATTTATATGCTGCAGCTCGATGAACCTTCGCATTCTGAAGTAGAGTTTGATTCACAGCACTGATAATTCTAGACAGAAGTGCTAATTATGAACACGACCGGTTTCTATTGGACACCTAACAACATAATCTGGGTTTAGGGCCAAAGACAGCGCTTCACACGGTCCGACTACTCAGGATTTTATTTCAACCCGTTGTTCGGCTCACAGTCAGTTTAGATCAGGCACTCAATCCTGATCCTTTCTTCCTGCAAAGTTTAGATCCAACACAAGAAACAACTAATCAATATTTAGAGGTTTATTGTTTATTACCAACACTGGCCCGTATCGGATCTGGCTTAAACTCCATAAAGAAGTACTCGCATCACAAACAGACCTTTTAAATGCGTCCCACATATATTCCAGCATCAGCGTCCCAGAGCTACAGTGCAGAAACATGGAAACCCGAATAATAGAGATCCACCGCTTTACTGTGAATCATTAAATCAACACAAAAAGCACAATATATTCAAAATCAACTGACAATAACCGAGAAATCAGTCAATACAAACAAACAGCTGGAACAAACTGTAAAAAAACTGTCCATGGATAACTTAAAATTCTCATTTCCAAACACTCTTTAACAAATCAGAAGACAACCATTAGGAACTAAACCGATAACTCACTCGTTACAGTATAATGCACTACCTACAACAGGTCCAAACATCACATGCTAAGTACATTTTAACACAGAAGTGAGAGAGATGCCATCAAACCACAACGTCCCATAGAGATCTGATTAGAATCTGTGAAAATCATCGAATCAGTGATTGAGCGGATTGTCCTGTCTGGTGAAGTCCACTGACAAACAAAATCAAGAATTCACCAATTAGAAAAATTCTGCAAAAATATTCTACAGATCCACAGGAACACAACAAATCAGCTTCTGCAAGTGGATCTTAAAGGGGTCATATGATGCGATTTCAATTGTTCCTTTCTCTTTGGAGTGCTACAAGCTCTTGGTGCATAAAGAAGATCTGTAAAGTTGCAAAGACTAAAGTCTCAAATCCAAAGAGGTATTCTTTATAAAAGTTAAGAGTCAGCCACGCCTACCTAAAACGGCTCGTTCTAACACCCCCCCACATATCTACCTCACTATGTGGGAAGATTTGCATAACGCCGCCCAAATGTTCACGCAAAGAAAGAAGGCGTAACTTTTATTCTCGCTGTAGTATTGTTGCCGCCGTCATGTTGTGAAGACGCTGTGTGTTTCGTTGTGAAAGCGAAACTCCTTTGTTTGGTCTTCCAAAAGAGGACGATATCCGCTTTGTCATGCCTGGAGCTGATCCGTGCTGGTCTCTGAGGAAATACATCAACTTTCACTGTGGAGCGCCGGATCGGCTTTCACCGTGGACGAAGCAGAGTCCAGCCCGGGGTCGTCACATGTGGTTGCCGCAAGCCTTCCCCCCCACATGTCTACCTCACTATGTGGGAAGATTTGCATAACGCCGCCCAAATGTTCACGCAAAGAAAGAAGGCGTAACTTTTATTCTCGCTGTAGTATTGTTGCCGCCGTCATGTTGTGAAGACGCTGTGTGTTTCGTTGTGAAAGCGAAACTACTTTGTTTGGTCTTCCAAAAGAGGACGATATCCGCTTCGTCATGCCTAGAGCTGATCCGTGCTGGTCTCTGAGGAAATACATCAACTTTCACTGTGGAGCGCCAGATCGGCTTTCACCGTGGACGAAGCGGAGTCCAGCCCGGGGTCGTCACATGTGGTTGCCGCTCCTTCGTCGAATCTGCCGGCCGTGCCGTTCTCAAGCCCATGCCTCTGTTCCACAACACTGTTCCAGAACTGATTCTGGGAGAGTAGACTACAATGCCGGCTGTTCTGACTCACAGTCTGTAAGTTAGTTTTCATTTAAAGGATTTGCCACTGATGATTCAAACGCAAGTTTTGAGCAGTGTAGAGTAGCACTTGTTGGTTGTCATTTCTCCGATCACAAATGCAGACATGGTTTTATGTTTACGCTGCGCGATGCAACGCAATGCGCAAAAAAGACAGTATAAGTCATTATAATCAGTAATTATGTCCCCACTGGATGCAACTAATGCCTGGTTTATAATGGGTTTTAATGTGTTTGTCTCGTCGCTCCGGCCGGACAGGGCATCATCACAGTATGGTGAGGGGCGTAACATTTCCATCTCACGCATAGCAGCATCATATGACCCCTTTAATGCAGTTCTCATGAGGTGAACACAACGCACACGCGTGTCTGTGCGAAACCCTGTCTACATCACATTTACACATCACATTACATCACACCAGCACTTCTTTTATTAGTAGGATTCCTTTTATTCTTATCTTCATTTAACATTATGGATTTTACCTTCAACTATACACTGCATTGTTTTCTCTTTTATTTATTAATGGGAATTGATTTACATTTTCAATCTGATTTACAAGTTATCTGTATAACTTGTTTATCAATCTGAAAGTACGAATATCTGTCGTGTCAGTAAAGCACATTAACCCTGAGCTGTGAGGAGTGGAGAGTGCTGTGTTTCAGTATTTCAGGCCGCTGCGGATCACAACAGGGTTCGGTTACAATGACAGCTGATGTGTCTTCTGGGCACCTGATGGCCTTGAATTATTGACAGCATGTCGGTGATTGTGTTCCAGTGAACGAGACCTTCTGCCCTCTGTGATGAACGACTAGGCATGGGCCGGTGTGAGATTCTGATGGTATGATAACCTTAGACAAAAATATCACGGTTTCACGATATTGCGATTACAGCTCTAAAATATGTTATTTTTAAATGTCTGGACAACTTTTTTCCCCCCACTGAACACAATATATTTTATTTTTAAGAAACATATAGAACATTTTTGGAACAGTAAACATGTCAGGCTAAATAATTAAATTCTTCTAAATTAAGTGCAGTCACTTAAGTGAGCCTAAACCTGCAGCTCAACAAGGTTTTTGGAGACATGTTCGCTTTCTACACATTCATCTTTCAGTCCAAGTTATGATGCAGGAATGTTCACCTTTCCCGGATTAAGTTTGGAGCGGTGAGGTACGAGGATGTGAGCGCATACACGCGTAAGGAAAGAGAAAGCACGAGTGTCTCACACACACACACACACACACGCAGTCTCTCCGTACAACACTGTCGAATCTGCCGGCCGTGCCGTTCTCAAGCCCATGCCTCTGTTCCACAACACTGTTCCAGAACTGATTCTGGGAGAGTAGACTACAATGCCGGCTGTTCTGACTCACAGTCTGTAAGTTAGTTTTCATTTAAAGGATTTGCCACTGATGATTCAAACGCAAGTTTTGAGCAGTGTAGAGTAGCACTTGTTGGTTGTCATTTCTCCGATCACAAATGCAGACATGGTTTTATGTTTACGCTGCGCGATGCAACGCAATGCGTAAAAAAGACAGTATAAGTCATTATAATCAGTAATTATGTCCCCACTGGATGCAACTAATGCCTGGTTTATAATGGGTTTTAATGTGTTTGTCTCGTCGCTCCGGCCGGACAGGGCATCATCACAGTATGGTGAGGGGCGTAACATTTCCATCTCACGCATAGCAGCATCATATGACCCCTTTAATGCAGTTCTCATGAGGTGAACACAACGCACACGCGTGTCTGTGCGAAACCCTGTCTACATCACATTTACACATCACATTACATCACACCAGCACTTCTTTTATTAGTAGGATTCCTTTTATTCTTATCTTCATTTAACATTATGGATTTTACCTTCAACTATACACTGCATTGTTTTCTCTTTTATTTATTAATGGGAATTGATTTACATTTTCAATCTGATTTACAAGTTATCTGTATAACTTGTTTATCAATCTGAAAGTACGAATATCTGTCGTGTCAGTAAAGCACATTAACCCTGAGCTGTGAGGAGTGGAGAGTGCTGTGTTTCAGTATTTCAGGCCGCTGCGGATCACAACAGGGTTCGGTTACAATGACAGCTGATGTGTCTTCTGGGCACCTGATGGCCTTGAATTATTGACAGCATGTCGGTGATTGTGTTCCAGTGAACGAGACCTTCTGCCCTCTGTGATGAACGACTAGGCATGGGCCGGTGTGAGATTCTGACGGTATGATAACCTTAGACAAAAATATCACGGTTTCACGATATCACGATATTGCGATTACAGCTCTAAAATATGTTATTTTTAAATGTCTGGACAACTTTTTTCCCCCCACTGAACACAATATATTTTATTTTTAAGAAACATATAGAACATTTTTGGAACAGTAAACATGTCAGGCTAAATAATTAAATTCTTCTAAATTAAGTGCAGTCACTTAAGTGAGCCTAAACCTGCAGCTCAACAAGGTTTTTGGAGACATGTTCGCTTTCTACACATTCATCTTTCAGTCCAAGTTATGATGCAGGAATGCTCACCTTTCCCGGATTAAGTTTGGAGCGGTGAGGTACGAGGATGTGAGCGCATACACGCGTAAGGAAAGAGAAAGCACGAGTGTCTCACACACACACACACACACACGCATGCAGTCTCTCCGTACAACACTCAAACAGTGGCAACGTTTTTAAAAAATGTTTTTATAAATGTCGTGATTTTGAACAGATGTATTTTTGAAGGACAATTTTTGAAGGATCATGTGACACTAAAGACTGCAGTACTGGCTACTGAAAATGTAGCCTCTCCATCACAAGAATAACAGGAGAGTTGCTGCTGTGTGGTTTGAGTTTGAGCTCCGTCAAGTTAATTCTTTATCGTCTATTTTTTATCTTGTCAATTTTATACACCATCATTTTCATTTCTATAACGTGTGAATATATCCCCTATCGTATTCTACAACAAAAACAATCAGAGCGCCTTGTTATCACTAGTTTTATTTTGATTTCCAGAGTCCGCTAGGAGGGGCCGAGGGGTCGCTCTTCGCTGCACACAACAGAGGGAGTCCTGCACTTTCCGTCTTTGAGGACACGTTAAAAAAAACTGTGCATACCGCAGGAACGGTATAACGAAAAATTATAGTGGTTTTGAAACTTGACTTTTCCAAACCGCGGTACACCTTGAAACCGGTTATCGTCCCATGCCTATGAACGACCCACAGGAACGACAGCGGTGGGTTTTCTGTGTGTGTATATGATCTCATGGAGGGTTACACCAGACAGGGTCACTAAGTGCAAAGAAAGGCATTGGAAAACTCAATGGAAATGAATGGACTAATTCTTAACAACTCAAGACAACTGGTCACATACAAATCAAAGTGAAAATCACTTGAAATGAGGATCTGTTTTGTTTTGTTGAGTTCTGATCTGTTCTGCAACCATCATGACACCTGTGGTGTTTACAGAGGAGTTGAAGATTAATGGTCCAAAAAGACAAGAGATCATTACAATTAACAACCAAAGATGCATCGAAATGTAATAAATCCATCACCAGGCAGAAAATTATAAGACGATGAGTTTCTGGGAGTGATTTAGACATGCGCTGATCAACCAGTGTAGACACGCTGTCTAGAAAAATCCAGAAGACAACTGACGTGCAGCACAGGCATTCATACAAACGGCTTCATAAAACTTTGCAAATATAAAGTTTGTTACAAATGCAACACTTTTAAAATCTTTCCCGTGAGAGAATCCCCAGAACTACAGCTAAAGACCAACGATTTTGCTCACTTTTGCCAGGGTATGAAATGATCACTAAAACACTTTTGCAGCACTTTTGAAATCCTTTTATTTTTAGACATTCTTGCAGTTTAAATCTAGATTAAGACCCATCTCTTTAACCTGGCTTATACATAACACACTAACAGATTTGAATATTAGAAATCCGTTAAAGGATTGTTAGGCTGCATTAATTAGGTCAACCGGAACCGGGAACACTTCCCATAACACCCGATGTACTCGCTACATCGCTAGAAGAATGGCATCTACGCTAATATTAGTCTGTTTCTCTCTTATTCCAACTCGAGGTCACTGTTGCCACCAGATCCAGTCTGTATCCAGATCAGATGGTCACTGCAGTCACCCGGATCCAGTCTGTATTCAGACCAGATGGTGGATCAGCACCTAGAGAGGACCTCTACAGCCCTGAAAGACAGCGGAGACCAGGACAACTAGATGAGCCCCAGCTACAGATCCCCAGTGAAGACCTCGTCACCTCGACCACCATCAGCACGAGACCACGAGAACCAGACGAGTCCTCTGCACAATCTGACCTGTGCTGCAGCCTGGAATTATGCTGGTTTGGTCTGGCCAGAGGAGAACACTTAATTTCTGGCAATATTGTCGGCTTGATTGCACAGAGACTATTGGAAGAGAGCTGAACTGGATGATGAATCACCGAATCATCAATGAACTGACTTTAACTGAAAAACTGACCATTTTCTATTGTCCTATTGATAATGCACTTGCATTATCAGCACATTATTTTTCTGTTTAATACTGTAAACCTGCTTTAACACAATCTGTATTGTATAAAGCTCTACAAATAAAGGTGGCTTGACTTGACTTGACTTAAACGTTGCAATTTCAGCAACAATAATATTCATATCAAATATAGTCAAAAACTACATTTATAATATTTCAGAGATGCTGATGGAACAGAGAAACACTCACCGATGCTGGTGGGGAAGATGTCCTCGTTATTGATCTGCATCTCTATCCAGTCCATCAGCAGGTTCATGTACTGCGGTGCCGGCAGCGGCGTGGGCTTCTTGTACTTGTGCTCGTCCTGCCATCGGTACTCGTAGCGCGGGCCGCCGGACATCACCGGACAGCTCTTATCCGTGCAGAACTCGCACACCGTGCCGTAGATGAGGTTGATGCGGTTGAAGAAGTCCACCACGTGCACGGCCACCCAGTCGTTCAGATCCTCGCCCTGAGGCAGCTTCACCGCCGCTCTCAGATCCAGCCCCGAGCTCAGAGACGCCTGCGCCCGCTTGTGCAGATCGAAGCGCTGCGTGCCCGGCTCGAACTTACGCTTGGGCCGGAACGTCTTGTCTTTGTTAAACACTTGTTTGAGTGCGGTGGACATGATGTCTTTACCTTCAGCGGGTGAGTGAGTCTGGAAGAGTCTGGATCCTCTGCGTTAAGACATGCTCTCCTGAAAAACAAGCGAGCCGCAGTTCAGAACCTGCCCTCACACGCTGATGGGTGCATCTGTACAGAAGATTCAGCTCATCTGTCTCCAACTATAAATGGGCCATTCTGTGTCAAATCAACCAGAGGTCCCCCGCTCAAATTTTTGATTTTGCTCATATTTTTTCTGAAGAATGATAAACATGTAAAGTGATGAAAACCAAAATATTAAATGGCATGGATGGATATTTACTGAGTAACACACAGTTTTGTAGAGGGGGATCAAAATGACAATTTTCACCTGAGATTCAGAGCCAGATTACAGAGGTGTAAAAATGACTTTAGAAAGATGGCAGCATCATAATGTTGCTTTCACACAGAGATTGGTAGGTCTGTTAGTAAAATCTGTTGACTTTAATGATCTGTGTTGCATTATATGCCAATGGTGGTGACCATTCAAAAATGGGGAAAGAGCACTTTCAAATCTTTTCTCCAAAGTTTGCAGGCCTGTAACTCAAGAAGTATTAAATATATCTTAATGCCCTTTTAGATATTGGGTCTTAACAAACTTTCCTTTTGGCTTTTTCATTTTTAAGGCCCTGTTTGGTTCAGTTACAGAGATATTGGAATTTCAGTATGGCCATAAATATTATTTTTCCAAAGTTTGCGTGCCTATAAGTCAAGTAGTATTAAATATACTGCAATATGATTTTAGATTCTAGTTCCTAATAAACTTTTCCTTTGGAATCTTCATTTTCGAGGCATTTTCCTACATCATTCAGTCCCAGAGATATGTGGTTCTCAATGCCGCTCCATGTCCAGATTGTTGCACATTACCCATTTTCAGTGGTCGAAAACCAAATGTTGGTTAGTTTCTGAAATTTGGTTGATTTGACATGGAATGACCTAAATATGACTACAACAACTATTTAGACTAACAAACACACACAGTCAAACATTTGGCCACGCTTTAATGTTTCTCGTGAACTTAAACACCTATTGGTCTAAAGGCACTTCTGCTCGTAGACAAATATGAGTAAAAGGAAGAGAGTGTTTTGATCGTGGATACTGAGATGTTCCTCCCTCAGTAGTGTGCACAAAGCATCCCAGAGTGAGCAGAGCTGGGATCTAGACAAGCTCAAATATAAGAAAGTTTTCATTTGTTTTGATCACTACATTGTTCCCATCCACATGTGAAAGTAAGCACAATAGGGCCTTTCGCACCGCTTTAGTTCCAGAACTAAATGTACAGTACTAAAGTACTGGGACGATTTTGCGCAAACTATTTCCCAGTACCATTTAAAGGGTTGCATTCGCACCAACAGTTGCTGTGTCCCAATTCAAAGACCGCATCCTTCGGAGGACGCTCCGAGTCTAGCCTTTGCAGAATTTCCTGATTGCGCCAGCAGGTGTTCCCGATTAATGCTCCTGTCGCGTGGCAATGGTGCGAGAAGAGAGCTGCCATCCTGAGATTTTATAATCCTGCAGTGCTGACATAAATCATGACGGCCAATGAGTGAATCTGTTGCATCTGTTGTGCTTGAGGCCAATAGTCGTGCGATGACCTCATCCTGAAGAGATTCTCCAGCAAAACATGCTAGTCGACAGATTCAACACCATCTAAAACAAGAGATCCAAGCCAAAAGACACAGCCAGATGTCATAAGGTGTGATGTGAAGGGTTTTAAGACTTTGGTTGTATTGGATTTGACATCTGTGCCGCAATCCTAAACACACTCCACATCGCCGTCATGACAGGAGTCATGTTTGGATCAAGACTACTGTACTCATTTCTGAGAGGAACACAGGGACAGACATTCCCACACCTGAGCTTCACGAACTGATGCCAAAAACACAGCAGAGCTTGAAGTGTCTGGCTGTTTCTGACTCTGAGAATCGGGTCTGTCATGGTGCCTTCAGTCAAACAGATACAGCTCATCAAGACGACACCGAGACATTTTACAAATTTGCCTGTTTTCTACATTCTACCGTTTCCTAGCCAGTCAATGTTTAACTCTCATTACGTGCCCTAGTCTTCAAACAGAGCAGATAACTAACCGCACATTCTTGTGATCTGAGTCACTGTGCAGAAAAATAACAGAATGCACAATTAGATCTATCTCAGGTTAATTGCTGTGGATAAAAAGTATCTGCAAACCAACGAGTAATAAACATTCAATCCATCTCAATCTGTAATGCTTTCACAAACACTTTTATACAATGCATCTATTCATCATCTATGATCTCAACCAGGACCAGGTCACATGAAGACATCTCATCTCATCTCATCTGATGCATTAGTCTGTCTCACTGCTGTAAGAGAGCATGTCTGTCCTTCAGGGTTACTTCAGCTGATCTGTTCAAAACAAACCCAAAGCACTCATCTCTAGTTCTGAACTCCTTCCTCTAGTTATGAATGAACACCTGACTAATGCAAAAGCTGTTACTAGAGTTATATTTACACTTCTGCATGAGGCTAAAAGGTGAATCGTTATTATCAATACAGAAAAAAGTTATTTACAGGTTTTATATCTCAAAAGGAAAGTCGTGATACAGCTTTCAGATTATCATGATACAGAAAACATTCATATTAGACTCTGTAACTGGTTCTCGTCAGCAAAATGTACATTTCGTGTAATCCAGATCTCACTAACTCAACACTATCCCAAAACACCTGAGCCTGAAACGGGATGATGGGCACGAAACACAAAACAGAACATCAACCGAGTGATATGACCCGTCATACGAGAAGTTTGTGAAAATGCGAGAAAAGGTTGAGTAACACTTACCGTCACTGCTGTTCCGTGTGTGTGTGTGTGTGTGTGTGAGAGAGA